ACAATAAAAATGACTAATCGACCTCTCTTAATTACAAAAAAATAAAAAATTATGATTGATTGAATGAAGTTTGTACGGTTTGTACAAATAACGTGGTTTGCAAAGTAAATTTCCCCTATATGTATATGTATATATGTGTGTGTGTGTATAAACTTGAGATCATGTGAGATTAACCTGCTTTCATGAGACCCGTGAGATTATTTTTTTACACTTGAAACTTTACAGCAAAACACTGTGAAGATAACCTTCACAGTGTTTTTGCTGTAAAGGTTCGGATTTTTTTACCTTCACAACATTTTGCTGTGAAGTTTCAAGTATAAAAAAATGGTCTCAAGGATCTCACGAAAACAGGTTGGTCTTACGTGAACTCAACCCTATATGTGTATATATATTATGAATTATATGCATATTAATTTCAATAAGTTTTAGTTAATTGAATGGTAATTATGTATTCAACTTATTCTAAAAACTGAATATTTTTTGAAATAATTTAAATTACGATAATATATTTATATTTGTTTTATAATGTAAACTTTTATTATTTGATGAAATGTTTGTTTTAATAACAAAATAATATAATTAATTCATAATTAATGACAAAATATTTTAAGTATATTTAAAATAAAAAATATGTGTATAAATAGTAAAGTTAATAAATATAAAAGTATTATTAAAACCTAGAATTTTACGATTTAGTGTAAAAAAATAGTCTGACAACGACCCATAAGTTTTTTAAAAATGATAATCGAAACAAAATACATTATATTTTAATCTAACTTATGGTTATTTACTAACTGTTGATCAGACCGACTCGGTCAGTAAATCTGACTCAGTCAGCAGTCAGCGTGTTTATCAAATCACGGATCTGACCTAGATCTGACCTAGACAGCACCAAAATAATGCTTACCATGGTCAGATTTCGTTTGTCCACTGAATGCCCCTCTCTTGCGATTATATGTTTTCACCCCTAGCCGTCCTCCATCCTCCTCCTCGTTCATTCTTTCGCGTCTCTCTCGACCCTCTTCACGCCACCGTGTTGTCCGCAACCACGACCTTCCACCTTTTTTTCTTGAAAGACACCCGTTCTTTCGTCGTTGATGGAGGTGACACACTTGTATAACATCCCCCGTCCATGTGGTCCGGAACGGACGGTATCACTAACGGGACTTAATTCAAAAACACAAACATTATAGAGCTATTAATAAACTCCAAACGTAGATTAACTTCTAAAATATGTTTTAAAATCCAAAATATTACATTCTAACAACTCACCACTGAAAATTTCTACTCTGGAAGATGAAAAATACAAATCAACTTTTCTTTGCTTTTTAGAAAAAGTTTTCAAGAAATGGAATTAGGGTTTTGCAGGAAAAGAAGAAAGGGAGAAAAAAAAAAAAATATAAAAATAGAATTAAAAAATAAATAGGGGAATTTTTATTAACACACATGTACAAATAATACCCTCGGCTTCGATTGTGTTGAATAATTATGAAACCATCTTTTTTTTTCTTTTATAATATTTATATACGACAAATAGAACAAATAAACTTACACACTCTTTTCGATCACCTTTGATAAGGTTTGAACCCTTGATCTTTTAAGAGGCCAAAGACTCATATACCGTTAAGTCAAAGATCATTTGGTATTATGAAATCCTATATATTACTAAATGCATCGTTTACCCACTAATTTTCTTTACGTACACGTCAACATAAATACTTACTTTTTACATTTTCGATACAATGACACGTAATTTGACACGATTTAACATAAAAGAACATATCATTCCCCTTATAAAAATCCCTAGTGTTCATACGTGAGTCTGTATCAGATTACACACCACCATCTTAATTTTCTCCCCTAAGAATGACAAAAATTGCAATAAAACCTGCAGCATATTATATATATATATATATATATATATATATATATAGACTTGGGATCACGTGAGACTAGCCTATTTTCGTGAGACCCATGAGACCAGTTTTTTACACATGAAACTTCACAGCAAAATGCTGTGAAAGTAACCTTCACAGTGTTTTTGTTGTGAAGGTTCGACTTTTTTAAACCTTCACAGTTTTTTGCTGTGAATTTCAAGTGTAAAAATGTGGTCTCACAAATCTCACGAAAACAGCCTGGTATCACGTGAACCCAACCCTATATATATATATATATATATATATATATATAAAAGCACCAAATCTAAGAGAGACCCTTAAACTTTCATGTGTTTTGTGTATATATATCAGTTGAACTTATTCAGAAAATGGCAAGAATATATGTATATAGGTAGTAGAGAAACTTATGAATACAGCTATTAGTTGCATGTATAATATATAAGGAATTATGCGATTGGAAAAGAAACAAAAGGAATTGAAGTGAATCCCATTCATTACTTTCGTACTAAAGTGAATGACTTTAATTCAAACCATCCATACATTGTACTTCGGTTTCATTCACAGTGAATACAAACTACGAATCGCAATCGCAAAGCAACAAAACGAAGCGAATTTCATTCATTACATTCGCGTACTACTTTGTACAACTTTAATTGAAACCATCAATCCATATATATTCATTGTAACGAATCATCGTCCTTGCAATACGGTAAAAAAAAAAAACTCCATCTTTTTGCTAGAATTAGTGGCTTCGGATAAAAACTCGATAAGCATGATGATGGCATCCGTTTGCATTTACCCTTTTGATAAATCCAAACGTTCATTCTTACAAACTACCGTTTTTACAAAAACAAACAATCGATATGATAATAAATTAAATGCACAAATTTATACACAGATCACCATTGGGAATTATGCCCCAGGGGCATGATCAATGATCTGCAGGAAAAGCAAGCAAAGGGGAGTAGTCTAGCAGTGTCTGTCAGCAGGAAAAGAATTTGGTGACATTCCCACAGGCACAACTGGTGATGTATTATTATATCAACATATATATATATATATATATATATTATTGTGTATGTATATGTGTATGTATATGTGTGTGTGTATGTATTTTGTATATTAGATGGTGTTACTGCACACTGATGCACAGATGTGTTATAATATTTTGAATTGAAATGTACCTCTTCTATTTTAGATGTATTACCTTTGTTCTTTTGGCCTCATTCCCTTCTCCCATCCACTAAATACCCTTTGTTTTCCTCTCCTCTCTCTCTCCTCTCTCTCTCCTCTCTTTTTACCTTTTGCAAGCTACAGAAGCTACTCATCAATTTGCAGGTCTGTCCTCTTCTCTTCCCCCCCCCCCCCTCAAATTAGGGTTTCCTAAATGTTTCTTTATTGAGGTCTTGCACATGTCTGTTCAAGTTTCATGTGGTCTCTTTTGAAGAATATGTATAAAAACACACACTTCTTGTATATATATATATATATATATATCTTGAATTGAGAGCAGACATATAGAGGGTGATCAATCAAAAGAGCCATAGCAGCTCTTGAAACACACAAGAACAAGAAAAAACAAGAAAAGGTACTTGTCTTTTTTTGATCTTCACATGAAAGAAACCTAGTTTAGCCACTAAATCCACAAAAAACATGTAATCACATGAAGTTCCTTTTGTTTGTTTCTTTTGGGAATTCTCTTTTTCTGTCTTTACTCTAAAGTTTGATCTAGTGTGTCTGATCTGCTACCTAGGGTTTTCTCAACTCCAATTTGGAGAGAATATACATATATATATGTATATGTATATGCTCATGGCATGCCCATAGATCAACACCCAAAATGAAGCATTATGATGAGGAACTGGAAGCACTTAGCCAGATCCCATGTCTCAAAAAAGTTTCCAAGTACATAGTGAGAGAGAGAGAGAGAGAGAGAGATCATAGATAGGTGTTTAGATCTCTCTGATGACTTGTATGATAATCTGAGTTCAACCAGTTGGGAATTGAATATCTTATACATGGATTTAAGCAATTCACAAGTACATATATGCATGTGTGTGTGTATAGGTCAAAGAGTGATCAGAAAGAAAGAAAGAAGAGAGAGAGAGAGAGAGAGAGAGATTGAGGTTTTAGATTAGAGAAATTCTCAAAAAGACTGTTGTGGACAAATTGAATTCATCAGTTCTATGTCTCCTAGAAGCAAACATATCCTGCAAGCAATCCAATTGATTGATTATTCAAATTGTCATATACATATATATATATATATATGTATGTATGTATGAATGTATACACACACACACATGGCATTCAACACACTACTGATCAAGGACAACCTTCATTGAAATGATTTACTATGATCAAGGACAACCTTCATTGAAATGATTTACTATGATCAAGGACAACCTTCATTGAAATGATTTACTAAGATGTCCTGTGTCTATACATATATATATATATATATGTGTGTGTGTGTGTGTATGTATATATATAATCAAAGTTAGAATACTTATATGAAATGCATCTATCAAACTATGCTTAATACTTAGTTTAATTAACGTAAATCGGTTTTAATTCTACGAAAAACGACTTCCTTATGGACCTTGAAGTTAAAAAATTAGTGACTCGACACTCAAGAGTCGAATACAAGCCTACTTTAGGCGATCGAAGGAGGAATATATATCATCTTAAGGTAATAACTTAATTATTAAGTGCTCTAAACAAAATTAAGCATCAAGTTCATTTATAAGTTTAGTTTTAGAATCCATACATAACATTAATGTAAGTATATCTATATAATATATAGTGTCGGGTTCAAATGAGAACGGTATCTATTTAAGAGAATATGAAAATGGTCGAATTACATGTGATTTTACACTAACATCACATACAAAATCACATATGATTCATGCGACTTTGCCCCACGACCTGAAAACACGGCCATAAGTCGTCCGCACACCCTTTTTTCATATTCTTTTAAATAGTTAGCATTTTCGTTTGATCCTTCCTCATAATATATATATATACATATTCTTTACCAGATAAATTCTTGATTGCAGTTTAAGGAAAAGAGGAAGAGAGAGAGAGAGAGAGAGAGATCTAATGGCTTCATCAAGCTCATACAACTCTCCATGTGCTGCCTGCAAATTTTTAAGGAGAAAATGCATGCCTGGTTGCATCTTTGCACCCTACTTCCCACCCGAAGAGCCTCAGAAATTCGCAAACGTTCACAAAATCTTCGGAGCCAGCAATGTGACCAAGCTCCTGAATGACCTACTCCCTCACCAAAGAGAAGATGCAGTGAATTCCCTTGCATATGAAGCCGAAGCTCGTGTTCGAGATCCTGTTTACGGGTGCGTTGGCGCCATTTCTTTCCTCCAAAGACAGGTTGATCGTCTTCAAAAGGAGCTGGATGCTGCTAACGCTGATTTGATTCGTTATGCATGCAATGAGATCCCAACAGGGTTGCCTGCAGTGCCTCATTTGAGTTCAATTCAGCCAATAACTCCACGGCAAAGAGCCATTGATCAGTATCCTGGTAGAAGGATTGGAAACATTGATGGCGGCGGCGGTGGTGGTGGTGGTGGTTTCTACCAATCACCACCATCTTTTCCTTATCCTTATGCTAATCATCTTCCATGGAACCCTTCTAACTCCGGTGGAAATATGGGTGGAGGTGGTGGTAGCGATGGAGGAGGAGGAGGTCAAGGTAACATGTGAATATCTCTCAATCTCTATGAAGAACACATGCAGGTTATATAAAACCCTCTTTTGGGCTTGTATTGATCTACTACATATATAACTATATTCATATTCGATACTTTGTGGTTTAGTAGCTCAATTCTATGGCTAGCTAAGCTAAGCTATGATATATATATATATATATATATATATATGTATGTGTGTGTGTATATATATATATAGTGTATATGTATATATCACATGCGAGCCATGAGCATTGTAGCTAGACCACCGATTCCTACTTCTCACCATCATAAGTCATCATATATATGTTATTAGTTTTGGTGGTTTGAAGCTAGGAGAAGCTTTGGATCATTGTTTTTAGGGTGTTAAGTTTGTTAAATAAACTATCTTTTTTGGAGTTAAATCATGCATCCAGCAACTTTTCTTATATAGACTTAGTTTTTTGAATTCATCATCATTATTACCTCATCTATATGACTATATATATATATATATATACACACATAGAGAGAGAGAGGAGGATGACCAAACAAGAATGAAAACTATTTAAGAGAATACGAAAATAGTGAAATCACGTGCAAAATCACATATGATTTTACATTAACTGCCAAAAAAGTGTGCGGCCGACCCTATGGCCGCTTCTTCGGCATGCAAGGCAAGGTTGTGTGAATTACATGTGATTTTGTACGTGATGTTAATGTAAATCACATATAATTCAACCGTTCTTTTATTTTTCTTAAATATGTATCATTCTCGTTTGAACTCGTCTCTCTCTCTGAAAGATTTGGTGAAATAACTCCAAAAAAATAGAATTAAATGACACATCAAAACCGTTAGACTGTGACGATCTAATACACATGGCTAAAAATAGCTATAACCAATTTTTAAATAAAAAGAAATCACCGTAACTTTTATAATTAAAAATCCATAAAATATAACTAAATTTGGACGAAACAAATTAGAAAAAAAGAAGATCGATTTTACATATCATGGCAACAAGTTACAGTCTGAGATTCTTGGATGTTGTATTCCCAAGTATATATGTACAAATATAGAGTGAGACTTGAGATCATGTGAGACCAGCTTGTTTTCGTGAGACCCGTGAGACCAGCATTTTACACTTGAAACTTCACAGCAAAATGCTGTGAAGGTGACTTTTTAAAACCTTCACAGTGTTTTTGCTGTGAAGGTTCGACTTTTTTTAAACCTTCACAGTGTTTTTGCTATGAAGTTTACATGTAAAAATGTGGTCTCACGGGTCTCACGAAAACAGGCTGGTCTCACGTGAACCCAACCCTATAGAGTGATATAGAATATCTAATTTTGTCCTCATAGGAGGTCAGAGGTTTAAAATGGAAAAAAAGAAAGAAAAGAAGAATAATCAACTTATAATTATATTTTGATAGCTTCATAGTTTTTAATGATAGATCAATAATATACAAGGGTTCAAGATTAAATGAGAAGTCGTCGTTAATATACGAGAAGGCAAAACGTTTCAAGATTACGTTTTAATCATATGTAATATAAACATGTTGCGTTAACCGGCTATAGAGCAAGTGATCTTTACCACGACCCTTGGTCGTGTTGACCAAGTCGCATGTGTCCTTATCGACATGTTATATCACATGTGAATGTGATTTTACTCTTGTAATCGTATATGATCATAAAATTCTCGCATTAATCTCGCAACTTGACCGCCGTTTGATCTCCGTCCTCTCTCTCTCTCTCTCTCTCTCTATATATATATATATATATTCATAGACAAGCACATATATCTATATGTGTATGTATATATGTATATCTTCTCACTTTCAACCAATGTAGGTTTTTGGTCTTTTTAAGGGTTTTGCCTTATACTTTACACCTTATTTAATTTGACACATTTTTAACCGAAATATTTAAAAGAAAAAGTAACGAATTTTGCTTTAGTTCATATTAATTTAATCGATCTAATGATCAATTTTTTTTTCTCAAATATTAGTTTTTTTTATCCGTATCCATTTTATCTGATAAACCAATTTCCAGCTTACGTTAGCTAGCATCCATGTGATCAGTAATTATAAGATCTATCCGTTGCCGGTCAAAATAGCTATTAATCAATTTATTTAATATTGTTATTTATCTTATCACTTAACTTCTACCAAATATAATTATTTTATCAGTTAATTGATATCTAATAAACTAGCAAATAGATTATCAACCAATATTTTCATAACTACAAGGGTGGTGTCTGATTGGTTTGAGTTTAGCCTCCAAAGATCAAAAGTGTCTGGAGGTCCGAGGTTCAAATCCAAGGAGGAATAAAAATCTCCTTGCATGTGGCCATGAAGGTTCAAATGCGGTGACTCCAGGCTACCCACAAAGCAGATGGTCATTCTGAAATTAGTCGGCTCGTATAGCGGATTAGATATCTAAGTTAATAAACCCCCAATATTAATTTTATCCTAATTTGCCAAATGTAACCTAACTAATAAGAGTTGATCATTTGTCTGTTAATGGAAAAACAATCATCATTATATTAAGTATAATACTTCTTCATTGTATTCATGCCATAAAAATGGAAGTAGCTAAATGCACTATCAAAGTTACTATATGCACTATTCAAAATATTTTTTTAATTAACCTGGATATCCGACTCATTATGCGAGCCGACTAATCCTAGAACGACCATCTGCTTTGCAGATAGCCCAAAGTTATCACATTTGAACCTTCATGGCCACAAAGGGATTTTTATTCCTCATTGGATTTGAACATGAGACCTTCTGTTACTTTTGACCTTTGGAGTCAAGCTCAAACCAATCAGACACCACCCTTGTGGTTTGTGATAAACATTTTTATGTCCATCAATTAAATAAATTATACATCATCAGAGAGAATGTGAAATTTCGTTTAAATACATTTAAAACATATTAAAATTTGATGTCTTAATTTCGTTGGAGGGACGGAAATGGAATATGAATTTTGGAACTGCAACTTTTTAGGAGATGTCAAAAGAAATTCTTGACGTTGATGCATATGAGGAGAATATTATGATGTAGGTATCTATGTAACGATCACGGAGGTATATTTATCCCGTCCCTGAAAAAATTACCAAAATAGTCAAGACTCTAAAGTTATAAAATTAGGTTTATAGGAAGCCACCAATTTATAGATGTCTTAATAGACTGTTTTATAAGACTTGATTTATATGAACAAAAAATAAAGCCTTCTATTATAAAGCTGTAGTAAGTTTATAAAACGTTTTTAGGCGTCTTAACAAGTTTTTTAGGAGACTTTTAATATAAAACATCGTATTAATTATTTTATAGGACACTTTCTAAAAAACTTGTTATGACACTCAAAAACGTCCAACAAACTGATTACAATCTTTAGATAAGACATATTTTTGTGTTCATATAAATTAAATCTTATAAAGTGGTCTATTAAGATGCTTAGAAACTTTTAACACCTTATAACCACTGTTCCAAAAGGCTCGCTGCAACTGGCACCGTGACTCAAGGTTTATGTCTCATACCACGTGAAGCATGTGGCATGCCATGGTCTAGAGGGCAATTTTTGTAGCACGATATTCGAACCTTCGTAGCACCGTATTTGAATATTCGTGGCTATAAGAGGATTTTTATTCCTTCTTGGATTTGAACCTGAGACCTCATGACATTTTTGATCTTTGGAGCCAAGTTCAAACCAATCCAATATAATTGTAGTGTAATCAAAATAGCCATCAATTAGGTTTGGTTTTTTAAGAATCAAATGATTATGAAAACCAAAAATATAGGGAATGTCCATGTGAGGCTGCTTCCTTTTTCTCCAAAGAAAATATTCCTTTTATTTTATTATTTTTAAGAATGAGAAAGTAAATAAAAAAGATTATAAATTAATATTTAATTAAAGATTTATTAATAAATTAATTATATATAAATTAAATTAATTAAAGAAGGATTCTATTGAATTAGATGGTCTATGACTGACTCCTCCATTACCCAATAATATTCTCACATTTGAGCTTCATCACCTTTGTTCTTCCTGGACCACCTTCATTAATTCTCCTTTATTTCATAATTATATATATATATATATATATGGGTTGAGTTCACGTGAGACTAAGGATTTTCCGTAAGACCAATTTATGTTTATTGATCAACTTTATAAGCTAATGATCTGACGGTCTAAAATTGCACGATGACAATTTTGTGATTACGAATGTTCAGATTGTAGATCTAAATCCAATGGTTTATAATTGGTCTTACGGGTCTCATGAAAAACCTTTTGGTCTCACATGATCCCAATTCATATATATATATATATATATATATATATATATATATAAACCTATGGTTGTGAAACTAAAGCTCCCATTATAATAATATAATTTATTTAACTAAAAAAAATTAAAGTCAGCAAATATTTATATATACAAGTTAAATGCGTGCACCAAAGAGGAAAAGTCCATATGCTGATTCTCAAAATCAGATTATAATTGCTTGTCTAATTAGGCAAGTTGATGATTGCCAACACATGAATTAATGCATTACATTTATGTGTGTATGTATGTCATGTATGTGTGTATGTATGTATGTCATGTATGTGGGTATGTATGTCATGTATGTGTGTATGTATGTATGTACGGTACAAAGGGTTTAGTTATATTAAAAAATTAACCAAAGGTAAGAATATATAGTTGGGAAAAAACATGCATTGATACTTACTATGGATATCAACACTCTCATGAATGGTGGCAATGATGGATACATTGGTGCGGGTTGAAGTAAGAAGACGTTCAACTTACGAGAATCGAAGAAAAAAAAATACTAAATCACATGTAATTCTAGAGTAAAATCACATGTGATTACACACGCGTTGTGTTGATCAGTCATTGCATGGCAACTTTTCACGTAACCGGCGGATAAGTAGTGTATGTCATTCTAGACGTGTTGTATCACATGTGATTTGACCTTTCTCATACTTCTCGTAGTTGATAGACTTCTCGAACTATATATCCTTCATCGTGATATATATATATATATATGTGTGTGTGTGTGTGTGTGTGAGATATATATATATATATATATATATATATATATATTCAACAATATGTA